CCCCCCCCCCCCCCCGGATCCCCTTCTGGGTGAGGCCAGGGCTGGAGCTGTTGGGAGCCCCCTCCCATCTCATCACTCTAAATGCGGGGGCAGGGCAGGGATTAGCCCGTCTCAGCCCAAATCTCCCTTTAGTCATCCTTGTCCCAACTGAGCGGATTTGTGGGTTGCCCATGCACTGATCAGCTGCTCCAGGCGTCCCAGCCTTGGGGGGCGGGTGGAGGGTGGCGGCCAATGGGGAGGGGCTTCTTGGAGCCAGAACCCCCTTCCCTGATCCCTGCTGTCTCATTCTCCCTCTTCCTGTCCCCCCTCCAAGAGCCCAAATCTCCCTTTAGTCATCCTTGTCCCAACTGAGCGGATTTGTGGGTTGCCCATGCACTGATCAGCTGCTCCAGGCGTCCCAGCCTTGGGGGGCGGGTGGAGGGTGGCGGCCAATGGGGAGGGGCTTCTTGGAGCCAGAACCCCCTTCCCTGATCCCTGCTGTCTCATTCTCCCTCTTCCTGTCCCCCCTCCAAGGCATCAGGCTGTAGGGAGGCCAGAGTCAGCCCAGGCTAAATTGTGGCAGCTGCCAAAAAGCCGGGAGTGAGCGGCTTAGCCAGGAAGAGCCGGGGTAATCCGGGCTGAGCTGGGGGCAGTCCCCCCCAACATTCAGCACCAGGCCTGCCCTTCCCCCACTGTACAGCCACAGACCTGTGCCCTCCACCTCAGTGCCCCTCGCCCACCTCAGTGTCCCTGCCCAGCAAGTGCCCCTCCCCCACTTCATAGACGTGTTCTCCTGCCCAGCACGACAGTGCCCCTCCCCCGCAGACACAGCTCCTGCCCCTCCCCTGCTGCCCAGATAGGGGGAGGGACGTGGGGGGCAGGAGCACTATCTAAGGTTTCCCCATCTTCCATGTAGAGGAATGAGGGTCACCCAACAGGCGTGAGGAAGGGGAACACTTGGTGCCCCTCCCCATCAAACCTGGTACTCCCTCAGCAGGTACCTGAGTGTGGGCTGGGAAAGGAAGAGCCCTTCTGATACATGGGGGAGCCCTGAGGTGTCTGACCTTCACTGGGCACCTGAGCTGGGGACGCGGGTGAGGCCCTTGGCTTGAGAGCTGCCTCCTGTGCCCCCAAACAATGCAGAGACTCCTGACCCGCAGCCCCCTGCCAGCCCAGTCCTGGGCGCCCCCCAGCCC